CCAGGATTTCACATGCTCTGACAGACGCTGGTATCCTATGACAGATCTGAGTCCCGGCTGCTCCACTTCCAGTCCAGCTCCCTGCTAATGCTCCTAGGAAAGCAGCAGGTGATGGCCCACGTACTAGGGCCCCAGACACTCACTTGGGAGTCCTAGATGGAATTCCCGAGTTTCTGGCTTTGGTCTGACCTAGACCCAACTATTGTGGCCATCTGGGGAGGGAACCAGTGGATGGAAGACCTCTCTGTCACTCTGTCCGAGAGCTCAATGCAATGCGTCAGCCACAACTCCACACACCTGGTTCTGACACACCCCTTGCATTTCTCTTCCACACGGTCTGTCTTTGCCTGGAGTTGCTCCTTCAATCCACGCCCTGGCCACATCCGTGGCAGACGCAGGCCACTGGCTGACCCCAGAGTCATCCTCATCTCTCAGCCGTCTTCCACCAGAGAGGGGAGAAGAGCCGTATCCTAGTTTTCCAATCCTTTGTCCAGTTAGTGGTACAAACGTTAAGAGCTTTGGTTAATGAGACAAAACCGAAAACCTGCTGGGGTGCACCTGCTTCAGCTCACTCTTTCCTGATCTACAATGCACACACAGGCTACCCTGTCTTTGTTTCCTCTTCCTGCCTTGAAGAAACACAGGCTACCTGGCGCTTCCACAGCTACGAGCAGCCGGCAGGCACAAGTCCAAGACAAGACACACAGACACCCTGACGGCATGAGCTGCGAAGTCGGCTCCGGCAGCTACGCACCTCCGGAACTTTTCCATCTTTTTCTTTCCTTAATGATTTATTTATTTGAAAGTCAGAGTTACAGAGAGAGGGAGAGAGAATCTTCCATCTGCTGGTTTATTCCCCACAGGGCCACAACAGCCAGGGCTGGGCCAGTCTGAAGCCAGGAGCTTCATCCAGGCCTCTCACGTGGATTGACAGGGGCCCAAGCACCAGGGCCATCTTCTGCTGCTTTCCCCAGGACATTAGCAGGGAGCTGGACAGTAAATGGAGCAGCCGGGACTGCAGCCACTGCCCACAGGGGATTCTGGCATCGCAGGCAGCGGCTTAACCTGCTATCCCACAGCGCCAGCCCCCAGACCTTTTCTATGTGAGGACAACCTGAGATTTGCTTAAGCACCGTGTAGGGTTTCCTGTTACTTGAGGTCAAAAGCGTTCCCGGGGTCGGCACTGTGTTGGAATTAGAGTTAGGGACCTAAATATTCTTCCTAGAGACTTCATCCAACGTCAAGGTTTTGCTCCACTCACAGTAACCCCACCTACTGTTTGCCCACGCTGTGCCAAGCACTTACTGTAATGAAGTACTTGACACGTAGAAATTCACCTCAACTTCACCTCCTTATGAGACAGAGAAAATATCGCTACTGTTTCATAGATTGATCTTATAAAGAAGGCGCATACTGGAGCTAGTGTTGTGGTACAGGTGAAGCCACTGCCTGCGACACCCACCTCATATACCGCAGCACTGGTTTGGTTTGAGGACTGGCTACTCCATTTCTGATCCAGCTCCCTGCTAAGGCACCGGGGAAAAGCAGCAGAAGGTGGCCCAATATCTGGGCCCCTGCCACTCATGAGGGAGACCCAGATGGAATTCCTGGTTCTCAGCCTTGGCCTGGCCCACCCAGGCCATCTGGGGAGTGAACTGGGGGGGAGGAAGCTTCCTTTTCTCTCTCTCGCTCTCTGTGCCTTTCATGTGAATAAATAAAAGCGAGTGGGCAGCGCTGACTGTTCCAGCTCCGTAGCTGCCCTGAGCCTCGGGCCCCGTGGTTAACTGCCTGGGCTGGACATCCTGGCTGGCATTCACATCCAAGTTGTGCTGAGAACGAGCTGTAGGATCTCCACACAGGACTGGCAGCCTCTGCATTCTCTCTGCCCCTTAGTGGCACAGCTGTTACACGTAGCTTACCCTCTGGGTTCACCAAAATCTGGACGCCAGGCCAGAGCAGAGGTGGGAACGCGTCTGCTGCCGAGGGCCGTTTGGATATTTATAACATCGTCTGAGGGCCACGCTAAATGACCAACTCAAAATCCAGCCTGCCGTACATTGACTGAATTGCCAGCCCTGCTGGCGGCGGCATGGCAGGGCCAGCCCAAACCGTTCCATGGGCCGTATGTGGCCCGCGGTCAGGACGTTTCTCACCCTGGTTCTAGCGGCTGCTTGGATTTTCCTCTCTATTCCTGAATCCAGATTTGAATTCTAACCACGCTATCTTCTCATTATCGATCAGGTGTCTGTGTTTCTCTGTTGTCTCCTATTCCTTTGTGTCCCCCCCCCCCCATCCTTATTAGGACCCTAACGCCTCCTGCGCTCCGGTGCAATGACCTCTACGAGGTGTCCTCGCCCCTCACAGTGAGCGTCCACACCACTGCCAGTGACTGGGAATGCAAGGGGAGCCCTCCAGGGGCGGCTTAGGAGCTCAGTGACTTAGTCGGGTTCCTGTTCTTTTCAGCATGGCCCACAGGCCCAGGTATACACGCCCCCTAACACCCGCTCTCTGCCATGCTCTGGACTGTACTTCACCCTCCAGCAATAACGCACCACGGGCTGTGTTCTGAGCTTTGTGTGTCTGGTCCACTGCCACCCTTAGGGAAGCCTTCCGGACCCCACACCCTGTGCAGGCTTCTATCACGGCCCTTCACGCCGGCTGTGAGCGCCACCTCTGTATCTCTGTCCCACACCAGTCTGGAAAGCTCTTGATGGTAGGTGTCCGGCTGAGCCCACGTCTGTCTTTCTCCAGGGTTCGGTCTAGGAGTCAGCAAGGCAGGCTTTACAGAGGGTCTTGGCGAGCACTCAGGTAGAGCAACACATAACAGTGTTGGGACCTGTCTGGGTCAGGGGACAGGTGGCGGTGGGGGCTCTGGAATGGGACGAATCGGGAAAGCCGTGCCCACAGAAGGCCTCGGCTGCAGAGGAGTACCTATCAAAGACTTGCTGTCAAAGATGAATGTTACTAGATACCAGGAATATAAAGTTAACAGGGGCGCACGGAAGTGATCGGTGAGAGTCGCTGACTTCACGCCAGTGCCAAACGGCTGCTGAGGTCAGAGAGGGGCAGAGCGGGCAATCCTCGAAGCCTCAAGGGCACAGTCTTAACATAAAGGACACATCTTGTATCAGATATAATTTGACTGTCCTGGGAGATGTCACTAGCAGGATGCCATCCACGTGGGAGACCTGCAAGAAGCTCCTGGCTTCAGCCTGCCCCAACCCTGGTGGCCATCTGTGGAGTGCAAGGGCAGATGGAAGAACCCCTCTGTCTCTCTCTCTCCCTATAACTCTGACTTAAAAAAAAAAAAAAAAATCAGTGGGAGGTCCTCAGTGACTGTCTGGAGCCCGGGTCACATTTCACAAACCCCAGAGTGGAAAGCACACAGGCTGAGCGACTTGTCCCCGAGGGCTCCTACTAGACTGGGCTCTCGGGTGCACCCCTCTTTGTCCGCTTGGTCCATGTCAACAGCAAGGTGATGCCCAGTCCTTGGTTATTCTAAATTTAATGACAAAATATCTTCTCCCAGACTGCGGTGAAAACGGTAGCTTCCCACTTCCTAGCATATCTACTTCTTAAAGCCAGGAGTCTGGAACACCAGCCGGGTCTCCCATGTGGGTGGCGGGATCCCAAGCACTTGGGCCGTCTTCTGCTGCTTTCCTAGGCGCATTAGCAGGGAGCTGCACTGGAAGCAGAGCAGCTGGGATTTGAACCAGCGCCCGTATGGGATGCTGGCTTCACAGGGGGTGGCTTAACCTGCTGCACAATGCAGGCCCCCTTACTTGGCATATTCTGAGCGCCCCCTCAACAGGCTTGGTGAAGTACTTGGTACTAGGGGTTTGGTTAGTTTGGGCCATCAGGCCTGGTGTTTACAGCCCTCACGCTGTAAAGCCTAGGGCATTCCGTGCAGTGGAGCACCACGGCGGGACGCTTCTTTAACCACCACTGGTGTGGCACAGCTGCTACTGCCAAGTCTGCAGGAGGCGGGTTTCTGGTCATGCGAGGGAGAGGCCCCAAGGCGCAGGGCTGTCCCGACAGCAGGCCTTCCACTTCTGGCACCCAGCAGCCCGGAGGGCCTCCCTCACCCCCTCTGCCGCAGAGACACCTACAGGGAGGCCTCCCTGCTCCAGGCAGATTCCTGCTCTTGGGAATCTGCTCCAACTCAGAGGATGGGGCTTCCCAGAGGCAGCGCATCTGAATGACAGGGTGGGTGGGAAGCCCTAAAGCAGCGGAAACTGTCAAAGCAAAGCACAGGTCCTGGGGTAGAGGAAACATCTGTAAACAGGAGGAGTTAAGGGGCTCATAACCCAGCGGAATGGGGCAGGCATGGAAACAGTGGGTGCCTGTGCTAGAGCCCAGTTTAGCTTCTCATTCACGTGGCATGAAGGCCCTGTAAGTGGGATCCCTGTCCCACGCACACACACTCATCTCCAGGAACCCTGAGACCCCCTCCCCACTCTCCCTGCTGTGTAACGGGTCCCCATTCGCCAGGCCCCCAGTGGTATGGCTTTGATTCTTGCAACCGAAGGAGCCAATTAAGATACCTAAGCCGGTTAAAGGGAGCGCCGGGACGAGCCTCCAGCTTCGGCCACGTGCTATCAACTGGCCACTTCCACCCTGGCCACCTTCCTACACCTGGGCCCTTCAGAAAGCTCACGGGAAAACAGAAATAAAAGGAAGACAACTTATCCGGAGGCAGTCACTTGAAAACCAAGCCGTGACTTTTTTTTTTTTCCAGGGTGTGCATTTTGAAGAGCCCCGCGCCCGCAGCGCACTGGTCCTGTCTTCACCACCGGCAGCGCGCGCGTTCAGCACCCACACCTGGCCCTGACCTTGCGCCCAAGACCCGAGCCAGCTGCGGCTCTCGCCGGGGCGCCAGGGCGCCGCACTCGGGCAGGGCGTCACGCTCTCCCCGGCGGCTCCCCGCCCGCCAAGGGCTCTGGGTCGGGGGGACACCCGCGCCTGCAGCCCTCCCCGGCCCCCGCCGCCCGCCGGGTCACCTGTAGTTGTAGGCGCTGAAATGCTTGCTCTCTCTCAGCATCGCCCGGTACAGATCTAACACTTGTGCGCGGCTGGAGGCTGCCATTTTGGATTAAAAAAAAAAAAAATACGAATACACGGGTCCTCCTAGCGGAGGTCCCGAGTGGAACCCGAGCCACCAAGCTGCAGCGTGCGCAAGAGCCACGGAGCAAACGCAAGGCGGCGGGCCGGTCCTGCTAGCGGGCCGGGCCTCGACCTGGGCGTGCACCGCCGGGGAGGCGGGCGCAGGCAGGGCTTCGGGCACCTAAGGGGGCGGCGCCCGCGCCTCGTCCCGGACGCTCCGGGGCTCGGCGGCGGGCGGGAGAGGGACGGGAAGGCGGCCGCCTGCGGGGCAACACTAGGCCTTGGGAGCGGAGAGCTGGGGCCGCCTTGGCGCCGAGCCCCGCTCCTCGGAGGCGGAAGTCGGAGGCTCGAGTCCTGAGGGCGCGCAGCCCGAGCCCGGGGCGCCTTCGCGAACCGGCCGGGTGCGTGGCGGCGACATTGGCGTCCCGGGGCGCAGGGCCCGGTCACAGCGGCGGGCGCGCTGAGGGCCGCGTTGCCCGGGTAACCGAGCGCTCGCCGCGCCGCCGCCCCACCCCCGCCGCCGGAGGCTGTCCTCCGCGCTGCCTGACACGCGGTGCTGATTTCGCGGGGAAATTTGACTTGGGCCGACCCCGGTCGGCGAGCCTGGTTTTCAAGGCGTTCATTGCGTGGGGAGAGTGCGGCGGGATGGGCGTGGAGGTGGCAGGCTGGGTGATGGCGACTCCCTTGGCGATCCGGCTCCGCTCGGGGCAGCCTCCCTCGGGGCCTCTAGACAAGGCCCCTTCTCCGTCAAAATGGCGGCGCCCAGCACGCACGGGCGCCCCTGCGTTTGGGCATCCGCCGGTTACCACTGAGAGTGGGCGATCTGCCGCGCTTCTGATTTGAACTCTCACGGCTCTGGGTTTCCCAGTGGAGCTGTGGGTGAGTGCCCCTCTCGCTGCCGCGTCGGGGTGTGACATGGGCCGCAGGTGTAGCAACGACTTGACTTTTGGACGTATCGTTTCACATTTCCGGGATGTTGCTGGGGGCTGGTGATTTTTTTTTTTTAAACTTTGATGTGTAGAGTCCTCGGAAATTTGTAATTTAATAAATGTATTAGGAAGGCGAGGCAGCTGGACTGTAGACGCTGGTGCTTAATTGGGACGAGGGGGCTGCGGGCACTCATTTGACGTCCCAGGGGAGAAGCTAAGCAGGTATTCTCCCGTGGGTTTATCTCAGAAGACTTAACTTTGCTGAGCCGCCTCGTGACGTGGTGGACAAAGTCGCACCTTCTGGTCCTTGTGCTCGAGGCTGGACGAAGGGAGTCCTGAGCCAGGTGTCGTGGTTGCAAAGCGCTTTCCTTTTCCGGAATCTTTATATAACCATCGTTAGGAAGAGCCGCGGCTTTCTGCGCGCGAAAGACCGCAAGCAGTGTCTTCGAACGTGAAAGCCAAGTTTGCACGGGCATCCGTCTGCGCCGTCACAGAGCCTCGGTTGTCTGCGTCTGTCGTATTTCTGGGCTTTAAGCGACACTTGCTCTGTGCAGCAGCAACTTGTATTTGCAGAAAACACCTGTTTGACTTTTCCGCACTCTGGCGTATTTGCAGCCCTGGGTCCTTGCCCCAAGTCCTGGTGCAATGGCATTGTTTCAGAGAGCGGATAGAATATACTCTCATTAAGAACCTTTTAAGCCTCTTGTCTGATTTCTGTAAGTTTTCAGACATCTAGGCGTCTCACAGCAGGTTTCTGTTTCTGATTTTAAAACATGCTAGCAAAACTGTCAGGCCACTGCCTCAGGTAAGAGGCAAGAGCTTTTAATAGTTGTTTTCCTTTAGGCGTTTCTCAGAGGATCCAGGACCAAGTAGATAGAATAAGGCCCAGACCTCTTTCCTCTTAGGATACGCTGTTGTGTGCTGATGCTGTAAAATAAGTGACAACTGGGAAAAACTACGCCAGTAATGTAAGTTACGGGTCAAGCTAACCATCACACTGAGAAGGAAAAACAGAATAATTTTGGTTTCCTTAAAAGTGCTGGAGATTACATTGTTGTCTTTTGCTTTCATCTGAAAGTAAGATTGGCGTAAATTCTTCATGCAGTTGCTTTATTTATGCATAATCATCAGTGAATTCAGTGATTGATACGTGTAGTGTACTAAATGGCCTTTGTGGTGATGAGCGTTGTCTAAAGAAATACGTAATGTTTACATTATTTGGGGAGCCTGGGTCACCTGTGAGGACAGAGAGGTTGAGGTTAGCAAAGTGACAGCTTTCCAGTGCTGAGTTTGTGGGACACCGTGGATTTGGACCAGGTTGCTGCACTGGGCCCACAGACCAAACCAATAGAAACTTAATCACAGTAAATGACTGTGGGTTGGTTGTAGAGGCCCGTGTAGCCAATTACTACTTAGGCTGAAGCCAGTTGAGTGTGTGTTGATTGAGTAAGCTGCAGCCAGGTGGATCCTGTTCTCTGCTCCTCTTCGTTTTCTGTAAACGTTGTCCCATCAGATGGGTGGTGGAGTTCTCAGAGGTTGCTTTGGTTCTGGGAGCTACCCAACTTGAGAATCGTTTCGTCCTGTTATTTTTTGGTCGTCTTAACCTCATTCTACTGAATTTAATTAGCCTAAAAAATTTCCCCTTTAAAACCAGTTGATACTATGCTTTACAGAAGTGTTTAACTTGAAACGATTTACTGGTGTATTGGCTGTCATTGTCTTGAAAGAATAAAAAATGCATTCTGAAGCGAAATCTGTATTTTTGTGTATCTTCATTGCAGAGGCAACTATCTTTATTATATTTCAAGCAAAAAGTCTATTTGAGATAGAGTTGGACCAGCAGCTGAGGCTGGACCTTACTCACATGTCCTTCAATGTACCTTTTACTCTGAGCTGGGGTTTTTCTTGGGTAATAACCATAAACTAAGGGGTAACCACCCACTATGACCCAGGCCTGAAAATGTGAAAATTTTCGTAATTCTCAGTTGTCCGTGGTTCTCAGCCGCCTGTTCTTCACTACGTAGGTCCATGTGTCACCTGACGTAAAAGACAGCCTTGTCAGTAAACCCTTACACTTTGTGAATAGGAATCTCTCTAACCATAATAAGCAGCGGTTTAACATTCAGCTTAATGACCAAAATGACGTGTAAAGGAAATGTTGTCTGGAAGAAGTAACTCGTGTACTACATGGAAGTTATCCTGCCCCTGCGTGGACCTGGATCTTCACTGCAAACTCGTTTTTGCTGATCTCCCATGTTGACAGGCTGTGGAGCTGGAAGACACATCACAGAGAGGCTCACTGGCTCGCACAGCTGAGCAAGCTGAAGCCCTGCCCTCCTCCGGCAGCACTCACTGCTCATTTTGAAGTGCCAGCCTTTACGTCAGAAGATGTAGTTACATTGATGAGCATATGGGGAACTAGGTGAACGGTAATTTATTGTTGACAGGTGCTTTGATCATGGTGATATTTCCAGATATTAAGGGAGTACAAAAAAGACATTCAACCAGGACTTTGCCCGAAACCAAAGCTTTCCTCTTAGGAAACAGATAGGGGAAGCCAGATGAACGATGTGTAAGTTAGAGATTGCTGTGTATTAAGCAGCGCATGGGGGCTTGAGGAAGTACCCTCTGTCCAGGGATTCTGAGTGGTTTGGAATGACAGGGAGCATCTACCATAGACGTGGTTATGCTTCCTCTCCTGGCAGTAAGTCATTTCTTCCTTTGTGCATTGGCTGTGTCATGTAAGTCCAGAAGAACTTAACCAGGGATGGACACAACCTCCCCCTGTCCTGAGACCGCACAGCGCTTCACCAGCACCTGCTGACATGGCGATGAGTCACCCAGATGTTGATCGGCTTGCAGTTCAAAGCAGGATTTTGTCATATTCAAGGAGTGTTGGAATTTTCTTTATTTTAAAGATTTATTTGAAAGGCAGAATTAGATCTCCCATTGCTGGTTCACTCCCCAAGTCCTTAATAACGACCAGGGCCGGGCCAGGCTGAAGCCAGGAACTTAATCTGGATTTCCCAAGTGGGTGACAAGGGCCCCAGCCCTTGGATCATCTTTCGCTGCTCTCTCAGGTACATTAGCAGGGAGCTGAATTGGAAGTGGAGCAGCTGGGACTCGGTGTTGGTGGGTGTCGGAATGTGATACAGGCATCACAGGTTACTATTTAGCTGGCTTACCACAACACCGGCCCCCAAAACTATCTGTGCAGGCTGCCTTGTAGTTCAAGACTCTTTTCTTCTAATGATCTGAGAACTGCAAATCAGAGATCCTGTTTTCCCAGGAGTTTGCAATGTAAGCACATACAAAATTCACCATAGGAAGTACCGAGTACCAAAAGGCAGGTGCTGGTGAAGCGTTGTGGGGTCTCAGGACAAGGGGAGGTCTTGTCCATCCCTGGTGCCTGGGAGCGTGGCTGAGACCGAGCCGTCAGACATTTTACACCGTGGACAATTCGCTGGGTGGTCTGGGAAACACCTGCAGGAATTGGGGTGGGGTGGGGACTTTTATGCAGCTGTGTTTGTGTTGGGCTTAAGAGGATTTGGGGTTGAGCTTGGCCTGTAGAGGAATAGGAGGATCCAGCTGTGTGGGTTTTGGGGAGGGGGCAGGACAGCTACTGCAAGAGGCAGTTGCCCTTTACCTGGAAAAGGGTAAAGGAGAGAGCCTGAGTGAGGGTGAGGGAATGATAGTCGTGATCCAGAGAACCCTGGGAGGGGTCCACGCAGGCCTGGAGGGTGAGAGCAGGGAGGTCCAGGGCGTGGGAACTAGGGGACTTCAGAAAGCGCATAGGAAATGGAAGTAGAAGCAAGTTTGTTTTGGTGCCAATGTTTAAACAATTGTTAGAACCGTTTATTAGAGCGAGAGTGCTGCCGTGTACTGGTTGACCCCCTGAATGCCTGTGGCAGCTGAGGCTGGTTCTGGTCAAAGGCAGGAGCTGAAAACCCTAGTCTAGGCCTGGGGCTCCCACATGACTGGTAGGGACCTGACTCCTTGTCATCACCTGCCACTTCCCAGGGTGCGGATTGGCAGGAAGCTGAAGTGGAGAGCAGAGCTGAGACATTAGCCAGGACCTCTGATGTGGGGTGCAGGTGTCCCAGCAGGTCTGTTAACTGCCCGGCCAAACACCCTTCCCTCTATCTGCCCACCCCAACCCCTCATTTAAAAATCTATGCATGGCCATGGCTCACTGGGCTAATCCTCCCCCTGCAGCGCGGGTACTCCGGGTTCTAGTTCCAGTTGGGGCGCTGGTTCTGTCCCGGTTGCTCCTCTTCCAGTCCAGCTCTCTGCTGTGGCCCGGGAGTGCAGTGGAGGATGGCCCAAGTCCTTGGGCCCTGCACCCCATGGGAGACCAGGGGGAAGCACCTGGCTCTGGGCTTCGGATCAGCACAGCACACCAGGCATAGCGGCCATTTGTGGGGTGAATCAACGGAAGGAAGACCTTTCTCTCTGTCTCTCTAACTCTGCCTGTCAACAAAATTCTCTGCGTAATTTTTCTGTAATATGCATTTTCTATCACTTTTGAAGATCCCTGTGTTATGCAAAGGCTGAGTTCTTTGATGCCTTCCCTTAACCCTTCCCTTACTTGGTGGGAAGGCTGTTATCTCCCTATCAAGAAAGGGAGAGTGGGAGGGTGGTTGTTCAGCCCAGGGTCAGATGCGGGAGCTGGGCATTGGCCCTGGGTGTGGTCTCTCTGCCCAGAGGCAATGCAGCATTGAGAATGTCTTTTGTGCCAACTTCGGGAGTGTGTAGTTTATTCATAGTTCTTGAATAACTGCATTTTAGCCATACTTGAATTATAATTTAGTTGGATTCTCACATATTTGTAAAGCTAACTGGTTGATTTAGGAAATATTCAGAAGATCTCAAATGTCGATTTTTTTGATACTAGCTTTTGTGTGTGTGTGTGTGTGTGTGTTTAGCCTGTCTTTGAAAAGACTTGGTACCTTTTTTTAAAATTTTTTTTAAAGATTTATTTTATTTACTTGAAAGGCAGAGTTAACAGAGGGAGGGAGAGACAGAGAATGAGGTCTTCCATCTGCTGGTTCACTTCCCAAATGGCCACAACAGCCAGACTGAAGACAGAGCCAGGGACATCTTCTGGGTCTCCCATGTGGATGTGGGGGTCCACAGATCTGGGCCATGCTCTGCTGCTTTCTCAGACACATATGCAGGGAGCTGGATTGGAAGTGGAGCAGCTGGGACTCGAACTGGTACCCATATGGGATGCTGGCATCTCAGGCAGCAGCTTTACCTGTTGTGCCATAGTGCCTGCCCCAACTTGGTGCCTTTTTCAAGTTCTTTGTGTACCTGTGTGTTTGTAAGCGCATGGACATGTGGATGTGTGACATTTCCTCTTGGAATCCTCTGAGACATTTCTATGGAAGGGCTTTCAAATACAGTTAGGGCAACTGTCCTGTGTCTTGAGGAATTGAGAAAGCCTTGAATACATATGCAGCAGCATGTAGATATTCTAGCTTTGTTGATTGGAGGTTAAGCGTTCCTTCACTGTGGGCAGTTGGATTGGCCATTGATTTGGTATAAATTATATCAAGTGTCCTTCAGTTCTATAGGATTTTTTTTCCCAAGCCAGATCTTTCTAACGGAAAGAAGCAAACCTCCACCAGCCCGGGAGCTCTTTGCCACTGCCATTTGTGGTAAAATTCCGATAGAGATCACCTTCAGGCCTTCTGTCTTTTTTCGAGGGCTTGGCTGTTTTCATTTTTTCCGTTATGTTTCTGCACGACCTGTTAGATTTGCTGCATGTGATGATGATGGTGGCTTTTATTTAGAGTTTCTTTTTTTTTTTTTTTAATATTTTATTTATTTGGAAGGTAGTTACAGAGGGAAATACAGAAAGGTCTTCCTTCCACTGATTCACTCCCCAAATGGTGGCAACTGCCAGAGCTGCGCCGATTCGAAACCAGGAGCCAGGAGCTTCCTCCTGGTCTCCCAAGAGGGTGCAGGGGCCCAAGCACTTGGGCCATCTTTGATGCTTTCCCAGGTCATAGCAGAGAGCTGGATGGGAAGAGGAGCAGCTGGGACTAGAACCGGTGCCAACATGGGATGCCGGTGCCACAGGCAGAGGATTAACTTGCACCACAGTGCCGGCACCCAGAGTTTATTTTCTCCTACAGGAGCTTTGCTGTGCACTTCACCAACATCTCACTTTAGTACTTTCTCTAAGGACCAATTTGAAGTTCTGCTTGACTTGTGTTACTGCGGAGTAAGAACTTCTGTCTCTTGTTGGTTCAGGTCAGTTGGCTGTAGGATTTGCAGGCTTGGCTATTTAGGGAAAAGCAGCCGATGTATATTGTACGGTCACTCTAGTAATACTAGGAAATGTGTTGTAAGGTATGTAAGACTGAGTTCTATAACATTAACTAATCTTTCCAAAGGATGATTTGTTTTCGAAATTATACTGAAGACCCTTATTAACCGTCAAAGCCATATATAGAATTCATAATGTCTTTTCTATTACATTTTATGTGATAAAGTATTTCATCAGTTTTTAATCTAAAAATGTATTTGGATTGAGGCAGTTGAACTTGGCAACCTCGTACTCTGTACGTGTAATTGTGAACTTGAGTATTTAAGAGTATTTAGGGCCTGGCTTGTGTGAAATGGATTACAGCCATGTTGGCAGGCAGTGAAACACAGCTTCGTTAATTAGAATATTGGAGAATCACCTTTATGACAGCCTGAGACTCTGGGGTGTAGGGCGAAGTGCCGTGGAGAAGGGATGAGCTAGAAGACGGTGTAGGAGGCGGCGCACGCCTCTCTTGACATTTGAGGTGAGGCTGTTGTTACCTATCCAGTCTTGGAGCACTTGAAGCAAGGGCCTCTGCCTGACCATTTATGACTTTAAGCCCTGTGAAGAGTCCTGTTTGCACTGCTGGTGCTGGGATCTGGGGCTGGTAGGATGGTAAGTGCAGTACGGCTTTCAGGCTGTGAGTGGTGGCCTCCAGAAGCAGCCACACTCAGTCTGGAGACCCCTGCGCTGAGAACTGTGCAGAGATTCCCTGCCCGCAGAGCTGCAGTCTCCTAAACGTTGTTTTCTGTGCTTTCTGGAGCTATTTGAAAATGAAGTGTTCATTACCGTTCTGATCCTCAGGTATGGTCTTAAGATGTATATGGACTAATGTTGCCACACCACGGATGGTAATTTCTCTGCTGCTGGCCCTGCCAAAACCCTGCAGTACTTTTATTTATTAATTTAAAAGATTCATTTAGGGGCCAGTGCTGTGGCATGGAGGATAAAGTCGCCACCTGCAGCGCCGGCATCTTATATGGGCTCCAGTTCAAGTCCCGGCTGCTTTACTTCTGATCCAGCTCTCCACTGATGCACCTGGGAAAGTAGCAGGAGATGGGCCAAGCTCTTGGGCCCCTGTACCCATGTGGGAGACCCGGAAGAAGTGTTATTTATTTATTTGGCAGAAGGTGTTGGCTCCCCACAAACCATACTTTTTCCTTACCAACAAAATTGTGATTTTGTTTGATTTCTGGTGTGGGCGTCCACGTGCCTCGCTCGTGGAAACGAATCGTAATGCCTTAGACGTCTGTAGCGGTGCTCTTTCGTCTTTACCAGATACTTGATTCTTACAGCCAGGAGCAGCCAAGAGACAAAGATTTTGCTCTTTTATTAAAAGAAGTTTTCGTGAAGAAGGACTTGCTTGCACTTGCTTCTGGCGTGACGGATGCTTGAACTCTGTACCTTACAGTGACCAGTGGACGATGAGGGAAAGGCCGAGAGAACACAGAGTGCAAGCTAAACCTTGGTTTTCCTGAGCTGCAGGATGAACGCTGTGGCTGGATGCCTCCGGACTGGTTAACAGGTGCCTTTCTCCTCACTGCTCAGCCTCAGCGCCACTTCACCAGTGGAGGGCCTCCCTAATTCCAGTTTGAGTGACACCATCTAATTTACAGTTGCTTAAACATGCTGTTCCGTACCTTTGCCTTTTATGATTTAAAGTTAATTAATTGTTTGTTTAATGTTGCCTTCTCCTTCCAGGATGTCACTTTCAGGAAGTCAGGACTGTTTCTGTTTTGTAGGTACAGCACCTGGTTGTTGCTCGATAAACATTTGTTCAATGAATGAAAGAAAATAAGCTTGAAGTCCTTAAATTTCTGCACTTTCACCCTCCTGCCACATCACAGCCGGTGATTCTGCATAATATGTTCAGCCGCAGCACAGACGCTGTTTCCTGTTGCTCAGGCTTTAGGTTCAGGTTTTAGACCGTTAGGCTTTACTTCTCTTGACCTCAGTGGAAGATACAGTAGGAGTAGCCGAGTGTCGTTTATTTATGTATTATTGTGTCACTTTTAGCAGAATGATCAGTATTTAAATACTTTTTCTCGTGTTATCAATTCTCCTAGAATTTTACACTTTTTTTTTTTTTTTTTTTTTTTTTTTGGACAGGCAGAGTGGACAGAGAGAGACAGAGAGAAAGGTCTTCCTTTACCGTTGGTTCACCCTCCAATGGCCGCTGTGGCCGGCTCACCGCGCTGATGCGAAGGCAGGAGCCAGGTGCTTCTCCTGGTCTCCCATGCGGGTGCAGGGCCCAAGCACTTGGCCATCCTCCACTGCCCTCCTGGGCCACAGCAGAGAGCTGGGCTGGAAGAGGGGCAACCAGGACTAGAACCTGGAGTGCCAGCACCGCAGGCGGAGGATTAGCCTATTAAGCTGCGGCACCGGCTGGAATTTTACATTATTTTAAAACAAGTCTTATTGGCCCTATTTTTACCACTAAGTCAGGAGCCTCTGGTGGTGAATAGATTGTTTATTTTATGTCTTTGAATACTGCTGGGAGCATGGACGTGATTATCATTTTAGTGGGATTTTGTGCTCAGTCACTAGGCCTGTTGTTTTAAATTGCATTTGGAATCTGTTTTCATCCTAGAAGAATAATCTCAGAAAGAATTCTATGAATTGACAAAAGTTATTGACTTGTAATGGAGATGCTGTAAAATAAATTTTTAGTTTCAGCATGCCATAATCCTAGATTGTTGGTATTAGTTTTACTGTGTCTGGGAGATTTATTGTGTATTTTTGAAATGATTGTAAATGCTGTATATGTGATAGTGATGGAGAAAACTTTACCAGGATTTTGTCAATTTGGTTGCATTTCACAGCTATAAGATTTTCTGTGTCATTCGAAGTAAGTTACTTGGTGTTTGGTGACCATATAGTTCACTTCTTTCTTGTCTTTCTTTCCCTTTCTTTCCTTTTCTTTTTCCTTTTTTTTTTTTTTTTTAAGATTTTATTTATTTGAAAGGCAGAGTTACAAGTAGAGAGAGTGAGCTTCCATCTGCTGGTTCACTCCCCAGATGGCTGCAACGCCTGGGCTGCTCGGAAGTAGAGCTGCACCCATATGAGATGCTGGCGTTGCAGGCGGCTGCTTAGCCTGCTGTGTCACAAGGCCAGCCCTGTATGGATTATTTCTTAATCTGGACAGTTTTGGTATCAGTAAATATGGATGCTTGTAAGTATTTATGCTGAGACAAAAAGCCCAAACCAGAACAGTCTTGTATAGTCACCCTATTGCATACAGTAATCAGTGATGACAGTGTTACTCTCCATACCCTCGTTTTAAGATTTTCCAAAATTGGAGACTTCTCTGTTCTCATAACAAAGCCACAGGCTGTTTAGTTTGCACAGAAGTGGAAATTGTATTGACCAAAATCCGGGGCTATCAAACAGCTGCTCTTTACCGTCCTTCCCTGTGGAATGAACGCATCTTTGTCATCTTCTGCCTGCAAGTGGGTTTCGTTAATTGTCTGCAGCCCTGGATTCCCAAACCACTGTGGTTCTCTGGGCAGAATGAGGGTGTGGGCGCAGGGTGCAACAACTGGTGTTCGTGCCTTAGGGTTGAAACTCTGCACCTCAGTACAGCCAATAACCATGCACACAGTGAAGAAGTATTATCATCTTACCAGGAACATCAAAGAGCAGTCGGGCATTTCAGGAGCTTTAAGCAGGGGATTTGCGGGATTTCCGGGTCTTTTCCCCTTTGCAGCTGTGCAGCCTGTGATGTGGAAGGGGCAGCAGCCCTCCTTTCCTGGATAGAGGGAGTCATTGGCTGTTAACTCTGTCATAAAGATGAGAACCAGTTAAAGCCAGTGCAGTGTGGTCTGGAGTGTCATGAAAGCATGTTCCTGATGGGTCACAGATGGTATTTGAGTTCCCCACCTCCCCAATTTCTAGTTGGCGGTCATTGCAGAAGCATGTGACAAACCTCTTGTTTGATTCTCATACAATTCAAGAGTGGGGAACCTTTTTCTGGCAAGGGTCATTTGGATATTTATAAAATCGTACATAGGCCATACAAAATTATCAACTTAAAAATTAGCCCGCAAGGGGCCGGTGCTGTGGTGCAGTGGGTTAATTCTCTGCCTGAAGCACCGGCATCCCATATGGGTGCCGGTTCTAGTCTCGCTGCTCCTCTTCCGATCCAGCTCTCTGCTATGGCTTGGGAAAGCAGTCAAAGATGGCTCAAATCCTTGGGTCCCTGCGCCCACGTGGGAGACCTGGAAGAAGCTCCTACTTTCAGATCGGCACAGCTCTGGCTGTTGTGGCCAATTAGGGAGTGAATCAGCAGATGGAAGTCCTTTCTCTCTCTCTGCCTCGCCTCTCTCTGTGTAACTCTGACTTTCAAATAAATAAATCTTTTTTAAAAAAAAGCCTGCTATAGATTTATTGGATTTCTCTTTTTAAATTTTTATTTATTTGAAAGTCAGAGTTACACAGAAGTAGAGGTAGAGAGAGAGAGAGAGAGAGAGAGAGAGAGGGAGGTAGGGCTTCCATCCAGTAGTTCACTCCCCAGATGGCTGCAACCACTGGAGCTGTGCCAATCCAAAAAGTCCGGAGCCAGGAGCTTCTTCTGGGTCTCCCACGCAGGTACTGCTTTTCCCAGGCCATAGTAGAGAGTTGGATCAGAAGTGGAGCAGCTGGAACTCGAACCGGCGCCCATATGGGATGCTGGCACTGCAGGCGGCAGCTTTAACCACTATGCCAAGGCGCTGCCCCAGGTTTATTGAATTTCAAGTTACACCTGTGGTTGCTTTGACAGGGCCAGACCAAATGGTTTTTGCGGGCCTCTGTGGCCCCTGAGCTGGAGGTTCCTCATCCCTGTACTAATTGAAGGTAATAAACACTATTTTGTTTGGCCCAAATGAAAACAAAAACATACTTCAGCTTCATGAGTTTAAATAAGTGGCCTCAGTTCACATGGCAGATTTGATATTTGAGATCAGGCGCGTTCATGGTGGTATGGCCGTAGACAAGATTTGATATTTGAATTGAGGACTGCTGCTTCTAAAATGTTTGCATTTTCTGGACTGTGTCATGCCTTATTTGATTGGTGGTTTGAATCCCAAAATGCAGCCATGAAAATCTAAAGAAAAAAATTGCACTTAATTCCTACTTAGCATCCTCCTACTCTGGGTAAGCATTTTTGCAGCTGACTTAACATTAGTTTTGAAGCCTTTAGTAGTCCAAGAGTTGGGTTAGTCTGTATTCTCTTTGGCTTTGGGGTAGACACAGTACATTTGGTGTGTGGGTGATGATAGGGAATGATTATTACTGTGCATACAGTATGCATTGGATGACTATATCCTGCTCTATCAGTAGTTTGATGAAACATGAACTTTAGTTTTACATCTTGTTAGAATCCCTCCCAACATCTTATTCAACTTCAGTTACAGTATTTTCTTGCTTTACTGTGGGTTTTGTGATTTTTAGGCTGAAGAATATGAATTTTAAAAGATTTTGGTCTTTTTACTTCAATTATAACCGATTTCCAATTTGCGCTAGACAGTTTTGTGAGCCACATGAACAAGGGCTTATGGACACCTGTGTGTCAAATTTATTTGTATTTGGAAAGCAGAGAGACAGTGACAAATTGAATGAGGTCATCTACTGGTTCACTTCCCCAAATGCCTGCAACAGCTAGGCTAGGCGAGGATGAAGCCAGGATTCCAGAACTCAATCTAAGTTTCCCACATGGTTGGCAGGGTTCCAGGTACTTGAGCCACCATCACCTACCTCTAGAGTGCATTGGCAGGAAGATGCATCAGAAATGGAGGAGCTGGGACTTGAACCAGGCGCTCCAGTATGGGAAAGGGCATCCCAAGCAGTGACTTAACTGCTGTGCAAAATGCCCTCCCCTGCTTTTTCCATAATGAGCTTTACATGAGCTTTTTGCAGACTCCTCAGGTGTGTAGTCTCCAATTTTCAAACATACACAGATAGTGTGGTGATTACAAAAAATATGCAGTTATTATAAGCTGTGATTCATTAATGCTTTCAAGTACTTTTGCATTTCAGTGGATGCTAGAAGTGACTATATTTCTCATCTTCCTGGGGGATTGGGTTGAATATTTTTCAATGTTAAAACTTCTGGGACTAGAATAGCTTGGGAGACCTTCCTGGGGTCATAACCAGGCAGGATGGTTCTCCCAAGTTAACCATGGAGCTTCAGTCTCTTCCATGGCTACACAGCATGCTTTTACTCTGTTAACGTGACTGAAGCATGATTTCTCATCAGTCAGCGGTTAGCTGCCTGGGTCTGGCCATTCTTAGCTCCTACACCACTTTATAAAAACAAGTGATTGGCTGGCGCCGCGGCTCACTAGGCTAATCCTCCACCTTGCGGCGCCGGCACACCGGGTTCTAGTCCCAGTCTGGGCGCCGGATTCTGTCCCGGTTACCCCTCTTCCAGCCCAGCTCTCTGCTGTGGCCAGGAAGTGCAGTGGACGATGGCGCAGGTGCTTGGGCCCTGCACCCCATGGGAGACCAGGAGAAGCACCTGGCTCCTGCCATCGGATCAGCGTGGTG